TTAAAAAAAAAAAAATTGATTCGACTAGCAATTCAATAGTTAAATCATTCCAACAAATAATTTGGGTCACAATTAGCTAATTTGGTTTTGATACTTAAGATCCAACTAAGAAATTAGCTCACTAATTTAGTAGATCTAAGCCACTGATTTTAAAAAATAACTTAAATTTAGTTTAATTGAAATCAGACTTGTGTAGTCCTACAAACTAACGATTAACTCCCGGCCGGCTTATGATCCCACAACCGTGTTTAATCCCGAATGTCAACCTAAAATTCAAAAGGTCCATCGAGGCCGCCACTCTATGAACTTCCCCTACGTGACACTTTCCTACACAGACCTCTCATCATGCCCATCTCAATCGTCACAATAGAGTTGCTCCATTAATTTAATAGGCTTGTGATCAAGTGACTAAAAATATTTAAAATTATTTTTAAAAGCCAATTTTATTTTTATTGCATTCAATTGAGCATACCTGAGGCCTATCAACTGTCTAATAATACTAGACTAATAGTCCACGAAAATATTTAAACTCATGTTATAGATATGAGTCGAGACACATCTAATTCGGAGGTGTCACATCAACAAACACTGGTAAGGCAAATAAGCTTTGCACACGTTGCTTTTCTAAGTCATTTTCCATTTTTCCTAGAAAACGTCATTTTCTATGGAAAATTGCCCGTGCAACCCACGTGATAAACACAGCCTTTTGCTTTCCTTTTTGTAATAAGCTAAGGAACAAACATAAAAAAGAGAGTCAGATGCCTACCAAAAGACTGCCGAAGCCTTTTCGGAAACATAGTTCATGCAGCAAGCTTGAGATGTCTTCCTTATTTGTTTGCTCTAAACTTTCAATTTTTATCTTTTCATGAAAAATAAGATCCCAAAAAGATAGTTATGAAATTAGATAGATATATATAAAGCCTGCACCGTGTGACGAGGCATGTCCACTGGGACGAGCAGGCGGTGCCAACCGGTGGAGGTAGGCGAACAATCCCTCTCGGCACGGACGGGGAGATTGGATTTCATCATCCCTCTTTCTAGTGGTGATTATAAATATATTTGATTTTTGCCCTTTTTTAATCTCATGCATATCGTTTTTCCTCTTGGGACATGAGATCCAAGGACAGGCCCACCAGAATCTAGAAATGAATCTTCACTAGGAACAAAAAATCTCACAGCAATTCTTTTCCCGTTCTTTTTTTTGCTTTTAACTTTCTGCAAGCAATCTAATCAGAATATTTGTCGATGCTGCCTTCAGAAGCAAGGATTGATCGAGGGAAGATACCTGATGGATTGGAGCTGGAGCTTGTGGCGCTCCTCCTCGGAGATGGTGGCGAAGGCCGCGTTGTCCTGTTGCTGCTGCTGCAGGCCGTCTTTGATGGGGGTGGTGGGCGCCGAGCGCTTCTTCTGCAGGGAGTGCAGCTCGTCGATTGTCTGCGCCTTCACCGGCGGCGCGCTGTCGTCGTGGCAGATGCCGTTCTCCGCGCCGGCGCCGCCGCCGTGGGTATGGATCTTCGGCAGCCCGTTCGGCATCACCACTGCCTTCACGCTGTTTCCGAAGCGGAAGTCGCCGTTCTCCGCCATCGCCTCCTCCCTGCTCAGTTCCAATTCTTACTATGTCAGAAACAAATAGCAGGCGCAGATCTTTCCAATGTTATGTCTGTCTATTTCCGTTCTAAGAGCAGTTCATAAACTCATCGAACAGCAAACAGAAAAAAAAAAAAAAAAGGCCAAAATGTTCTCTGCGATCAATTACATTCCTCATCCCATATCATCCTCCAGCGTTAAGAACAAAACATTACCTAAAGGAAGAGCAGAAGCGTCGGAAGAGAAGTAGTCGTAGAAAACGAAGAGAAAGAGACGATGGACACAAACGAACAAGTCTCACGACGAGCAACAAAAGAAGCGAGGGAGGATGGGATGTGAAGGAGAGCAATCTCGGGCCCTTTTAAAGGCGCGTGTCCCCTCCTTCCAAACCCAACCCCCTTGTTAACCAGGGTTAAGTCACCCCAACCCCCTGCTCAAGTCAACTCCCAAAGCGTCCTAACATTGACCCGTTCGCAACTCACCCACCTCCCACCCTCATCCGTATCCGTGCCACGGACGACACATCCTTCCGGTCCGTGTACATTCGCTGGCACAGCGTAGTTCCCGTTACGCTTTCTCCACCGTCGCAGCGTGTAGCATATATTAGCTCTATTTTAGCTGCCGCCAGGCAACATGTGCCTGCAAATACGAGTGTACAGAACAATAAATGCTTATTATACGTAGAGATTGGATCCAACCAAAGTCATTCGATTGCTTGCAATTATAATTTCAATTTGCACCCGCAAATACAGCCCAATATTTTGGTTGTCTTCTTGTAAATCACTCCATTATAGGAGCTATCAAACTTTTACTATATAAATAAATACTATACATATTTTATATGTACATTATCTAATATATGTATATATATTAGATGACATAATGTGACAGCTGACCGCCACCTTGATGTCCGATTTATGGGTAGCTACCAAAGCCAAATTCGACTTTACCAAATCTTTATCTCGTCGATATATGTATAGTTCATGTCCAAATGCGTGCACCTCATGCGATGACCGAGACTTCAGCGAGAAATGATCTTCTAAATCCTTTTTATTCTTTTTTGCTTAATTAATGACTTCGTCTTCATCCTTCTGGTGAGGGTGGTTGAGCCGAGCTGGAGTACGCGTGGCTAACAGATAAGGACACGGGATTCGTGGCTAAATCACTGCCGTCTATTTTGATTTGGACGGCGAGATAGCGGAGACACGGGTTCCCAAACGGCGGAGGGCGCCTCCGCCCGTTGGGCTCACGGACGGCGTCACGTCGGCCGCTTGCTGACGGTCCGTCCGTTACTTTTCGGGAGATGGGAGCCGTTACGGATGACGGCACCCACGAGAGGACCGTGAAAAGCGACCCGAGTAGCCTCCGACACGTGGCAGACCGATTGTGCTCTTGTTTTTTTGTTTTGCTTCAAACAGGATACAGGGCCTTGCTCCAATAATATCGGCTGCACTAAAATGAATGACATGGTAATTGATTTTTCTTGAAAGTATTTCATCTAATATTTCAATTAGAGAAATACGAATAGCAATTAGGTAGTAGTACATACGTGTCAATTATTTTTCCAAGCCAATTCAACATAGAAGGCTTTCTTACAGGTGAGATAAATTATAATAGGAGAAACAACAAAGAGAATTTAATTTAAGAATTAAATTGTTTTGAAATTTTAATTAATAAATGATTTATATATTAATTAAAGAAATAATATATAGAAACCTAACTTTTGTTTAAACATGTTGGAAGATGAATAAATGGTTTACGTTCATTGTTTCTTTAATCTCTTTTGACTCATCATCAACAATTGTCTTTGTTTAAATCGAGTCAAGTGTGCTTTCATTCTGAGAGTTTTATCTTTTCACGTCCCAATGCAAGTAAAAAAACATACAAAGGCACAAAACTGTGATTCGGGAATAATCACCACTGGATTATTTGGCATATATTGATTCAAATATCGATGTGCACAATCTAATCAAACTGAATTTTTCGATGAATCTTTATGTCATTGATCAAAATGAAAAAAAAAGAATAAAAATAAATAAAATCATGAATCGCAAAGGTCAATTTATTCGAAGAGATCACACGTTTGTCGCTCTCATGTTCGAGCATCATTCTCGCGCTGGATTCTCTTCCATCACCTCTTTTGCTTTTGCCTGCTGTAAGTTGCACGGATGTTGATGGATGCTGTTTGGATGTACGTGAATATTGCAGTGACCTCTCTCTCTCTCTCTCTCTCTCTCTCTCTCTTCGGCATTAGCATCTTTTTGTTGCGTTTTCCATACAACTAAGTAACTTATTTTTTTAATTTTAAATGTGTTAAATTATTATATTCAAAGACAGTGATTAGTATTGTTTCAAAAATTATTATTTTAATTATGTAGAGTTATTGTGCTAATAAAATAATATAATGGAGGCAAGACAAACCCAAGCACTGTCTGATGCATATAATATCGATAGTATTTATCGGTTCGATAACTTTTATCAGCACAAGACGTGTAGATGACAATAATACATATCTTATATTAAGATAGTTTTTTTTTATTTAGTTTTTATATTTTTATTCAAAACTATATACTTATTGACGTATTAGTATTCGGTATAATGATAGGATACAATATCGTTATCATCGTCCGATGCTTGATCAAAATTATGAAACTTGTAGTAAAAGATATATCTTGAATTACATAGAAGGAATGAATATTAACCTAATTTTGATTTCCTTCTTTTTATATTATATATTAACCTTGATTTGTGTATATGTCAAGCATAAAAACATAATATGTTATTATTAAACAAAAGAACTTTAATGTCAAAAATCTAAAATCAAATAATAACATATCTGAATATTACGATACGTATATTTTAATAATGTTTAGAAAATATTTTTTTTGATTTACAAGTGCATCATTGTTGTATTCAAGATTTATGTGATGATGATTTGTAAATAGAACTAGACTCGGCTTCTCATCTCTTCTTAACTTTAATAATATCACTATGATTGATAAATTTATGAATAAAAGAATATGATAGAAAATATGTGATCTCTCGTTTGACCATTTAACGTGACTAGGGGAGATTAAAAAAAAAAAAGATCTATAATCTCTCAATCATGTCACGTATCAACACATTTGCATACCCGTATATTTACGTGTCCACGTATTCAATTATTATGTGTTTTTGTTGTGTTGTGTTGAGTCCATAGGAGATCTGTTTATTTATAGATGGGAGTATAGGTATATGATAAGTAATCATGATAGTTCCTCCGGTATTTCTTAAGGAATCCTATCATAATTAAACTTATTTTTTTTATTTTTATTAATAATTATTATCATAATCTAATCATATTCATAATATATCTTACCTAATTAGATAAAACCACATAATCTAATACTCATGCCTCACTATGGGACTATGATTGCGTAACTTATATGCACGAGTCTGATTTGATTGTATGATTTTGTTTTATGCTTATAAATATTAATAGAGATTTTCTATGTCAAAATTAGGACACTATCATGCTACGTAGAGACAGGATATAATAATAACTAAATTTTAGTAATACTCTTCTTTACACTCAATCAAATATCTAAAGCACTAGTCGGGGTTGAGTAATTTTCTTCAATACTGCAGATTCAATTATAGCTTAGAGATATATGGTGATGTATTTTTGGTCATTTGGATGATGCATGAAACTCAATTTCATACTGTTGACTCTAAGAAGACAGGTCGAACTACAAGACCAATCACAAAACCCCTATATTCACGTCATATTTGATTTTAAGGTCCATATACTTTCTAACCTTTAAAAAAAATTAAAAATTATCACATATGATGAGGTTCCAAGAACATTTGAAATATTTAGAAGAATATATTTTCATCAAATTCATGTTGACATGATAAACCTAATTAATTGGGTTTCTCATATTGAGTCCTCATTAATCCAATATATTAATCATAGAAAAAAAATTATATTAATTTTATAATATTTTAAATGACTTCATAGTTGAGGTGCATTTTGAAAGAGTGTTATGGGATAACAAGTCAATTAGTTTAGTTGAATCTGAATCACCAACTCAAAATATCTAAATTAATAATAGATCCTTATAAAATAATATTAATCTTAGCTCACTTTTAATATGCATGCATGCATGCATGCATGCAGACTTGGATTTGAGTCGAAGCTCGTCCTTCGTTTACTTAACGGCATTAATTCCCTCAAAAGTCGTGATCATCAACGTACGGTAGATTAAATTGTCCTTGAAATCTAGATGGACGATCGACCTTTCAACGCTGCCTTCCCCGGGCATAGCCTCCTCCTACATCGCCACTTTCTAACTGCGTTCCTTCAAGGATTAGATTGCACGTCGGGCTCACAATATTCCACACCCAAACGTGAAACGTAGGGATAGGAAATGAGGCAGAGCTTCTTTTCAAAAGAAGAGAGAGGGGGCAGATGATATGGACGCGTCGGGCAGGAGGGTTATATTGATTGGGAGGAGAGGATTCAGCTTCGTCTACAAGCTTGCGTCACAGGCTGAAACGTAAGAGATGGGAAATGAGAGATGGACCGGGGGAGGTCATACCGGGAGGGAGGGAGGGAGGGAGGGAGAAAAGAAGAGGAGCGAGGGTGAGGAGGTCGTTGGCGTTGTTGAATGGATGGACAGATGTGGCGACAAAAAGAGCCGGAAAAGTAGTGCCTCGGCATCAGGCGTATCCGGGGAAGGGTCTACTCCCCACCAACTTTCGCTCTCTCTCATGCGATTCCCCGAGCTTCAGTGCGTGGTGTTCCTGAGACTCCTGTGAGAGAGAGAGAGAGAGAGAGAGAGAAGTCCGAGGCACGTTAGGTCAGAAATTGGATTGATTCTTTCCACGTCTCTCGAGCACATATAAACCCGGCAAAAGCTTAGGCAGCATAACCTGCACAAGTAAAATGCTGGGCGTAAGTAATGATCCACAACCTTGCGTCGGTGGTGGTCGCCAGCAGCATTAATTAGTGGTTGAAGTGGAGGCTTATCTTCGCACCTTTCTGACATTTGCGAAGTTGCCCGCAACTGTGGTAGTCAGCAGCACTGCATGCTTTATCAGAGAAGTATACTGACATCGGCAGGAGAATTGGATTCCTCGAGGTAAAAGAACTATAAATGCACTGGAAAATGACCTTTTATCTTCCTGACCGTAAGCATCACGATTCGGCGTGCGGTCTAGAAGATTACCGTAAGAAGAGAGAGGAAGATGGAAGGAAGAAAGGTAAAGGATACGAGAAACGGAGTTACAACGAAACCTAGTTTCAGTTCGATAATATTTACTGTATCGAACTCATGGGTGAATTTTACCTCGTCATCTCATCGCCTGAGAAGACATCAAAAAGTTTTTATGTACATCAGATAGGTAGGGTTTTAACCTTTTTTTTTCTGAATTGAAAAAAAAGAAGAAGATATCAATAGAACGTACCTTTCCGGCGGTCTGCTTGTACAAAGTGGTCATTAGGCCATGAGTCGTACTTCCAATCAGTAAAAATAGAAAATGAGAAATTTCGTCAGTTCGGCATGCCATCTCCAGGATGATGATATCATGTTCTTTAATTTTTAACATAAGAAACTGACTCGTTCTGTGATGAACAAACCGTGAAGCCTAATAATATTCTTATTTTAAGTTCATCACAGAAAGCAGAACACACCCTTTCTTACTAAGCATCCTTTAGATAGCAAGAGCAATTACTGATCAGCAGGCAAATGGATGCACGAGTAGACAGAAGAATGAAGCACAAAAAAATTGATGCTGGATGACACCTTCTTAGAAGAAAAGGAGGGGGTTAAAAAGAAAATGAAAAAGCAGCATCTAACAAAATCATGACTGATGATATCCTTCCCATGGTGAGTCTGTACAAAAATGGGTATAGACGCCTGGCTTCTCCTCGAATATGAAGCAGTATAACATTTATGGTGGTCTCTAGCCTTGAAAGAATGTTGAATGTTTTTGTAAATATGATGCAATCTTGGTGGTGCTGCCCCGTCCTCGAGCAGCCGCTATGATATGAAAATTGATTTGCATTCAAGAACGCACCCGCAAGCAAACGTCCCATGCAAAGTGCTTTCCTGAACATATATCAATCAGAAGGAAAAGTACAGAGAACTAAATAGGAATAAGCTGATGGACCAAGCGCATGATATATATAATTAACTGACAGAAGTAAGTCAACTAATACAACAAACGTCAAGAAAAAAAAAATATTGTGCTAATGAATTTTAAGCAGAATACACACACCGTAAACAGTTGTCTTGTACAAGTCACCAGCAAACAAATTTCAGCAGTGTCAAAAGAGACGATGGAGGGTTTCAGTAAACTTAATCTTCAGGGAAAGCCAAAAGAAGCTACACATATTTTCTCAACATTTTCCAAATTTTCTGTTACATTTTCTTTTTTAAAAGATAACACATGGCTTGATAAATGAATTTGTAATTTAGAAGATCAAAATTGTACCTGGCTGGAATTATGTGCCTTAATCATAGTCCATTATCAAGCCTATACAACTCGGGCAGCAGGGTCAGTAGGCCTGGTGTCACCTGGCCTCCTAAACGAGCAACTTACACCAATTAATAAAGTAACGTTTTAATCCAAGTATTTAATTTTTTTTCATTCAGATTATCATACTTATCCAGACATTTGCAGCTAGGGCACTAAAAGTGACTAAACAAATTCATAACATCACCCAACTTGTAACTTTCCTTCGATGTATGCTTCAATATTGCTTCCTTTTCAATACAATTAAATCTCCTTCCCTCATGTAAATCTCTGATATGGATCACCGGGTCTGTATACGTCCTCGCCAATTGCTTATCTGCTTTATCAGTGTAGGCGATGCCAAGGGTAGCTTAGTGGCATGATCCATGATAGGACATGCATTACACCACTCTCTACTAGTGACAAACATGGTTGAATGTCCCAGCATGTAAACTTCGATCTATGGACAGGCAAATTTTATACCATATAAATATCAGTATACAGTTCTACACAGAGGGATCCATGTTCAATAGGATTGCAAAAATATGTACATTTCTACACAAAAAAGTCTATGATTAATAAGGTAAATACCAATGTAAAAGCCAGAACTATCCAAGACGACGTACCTTGTGAAAGCTGCATGTTCTATGTTAAACGAATAATAGCATCAAGGTTTCTTGACACTTGCCACCCTTTAGGGTAAACAAGATCTTTAGCTTCTAAATGGAGGTGCCAATTCATGATTCTCGGGCAATCATTTGGTAAGCCTTCCATTTGACTTTCATCCTCTACTATCTGCTCTATGAATGTGGTCTCCTGCAAACAAATGACATTTTACATAGTTAATGATGCTAATAAAGAACTCAAAATCTGCACTCTTTCACCAAAAAATAATAATAATAATAATAAAGCAAACTGAATTCAGATCTGTTGTTACGAAAGAAAGACGCTGATGCTTAACTTTTTCCCTTTGATTGATGTTTTCCATTAGTAAATATTTATAATTGTTTTCAATTGTTTAAAAATCGAGTCAAACTTAAAGGAAAAAACAGTGGAGATACTCCTGATGCAGTATAAACAGAAAAAGAACCGTAAAGCTCCTTGGATCCACTTGGTGGTATTTGAGCAAGGATAAAGAAATTATATTGTCTCCAGCACAAGAAAATTAAAACTCATGTTTAAATTAACATCATGCACAATACTGTTGATTATTGAAAATTGCCGAATTCGGGATAGGATTCATTTACGAATGTATTGCCCATGGTCTCTGTACCACATGGCAAGAGAAACACTTGTCTTATTCGAGCACTTGCTAAACATCAGCCCATGGAAAGTGACAACCATCCTCCGTGGGTAAAAAATAGTTGATAACTAAACTCCAAAGTGATGGAACAATTCCCCTTAGCTCAAACACTTTAGATGAAACACAAAGTTATATTATTGCATCAAACATATTTCTATAAGGACTAGCCAACCTATACCATATTATGGCTTTTTCTTGGTCAGATTCTCTGAAAACCAATGTTTTGAATACCGTACTATACCGCCTAATACGGGCAGTATGTACTGGTCCACCAACAGACCGGCACGTAGACCGCCCGCTACCGGGCAGTATCAAGTATTTGGCTTCGTATCGGGCGATACGGGGTTATATCGGCCAGTAATCGGTCGATTTCGATCGTTACTGAACCGTAACAATGTTCCAACGATCAATTTGACCGTTGGAAGCCTCCTCAAGGGTTTTTTAACCCTTTCCTCCCCCCTATTTCAATCCATTTCATTCTCGTACTCTCTCAAACTTATTTTTTTTTTCACATTCTCTCTTTTATTCTCATATTTTCACTCCTAAACTCAACAAAGCAACGAATTGTGGATTGAATCAAATCATGGAACTCGATGAGATACTGGTCAAGTTTATGCATGGAAGGGGAAAGGAAAGCCGGTGGATGATTTTGAGCAGATGCAACAGAGCTTACATGACGTAAACATAGAATGACGCTCATCATATTCACAGCCATTGTATTATGGAGAATCTTACGGCCAACAACAGTAAGGTGATAGTTGGTCATACTTCTCCGAGCAACGATATGATACGAAGCAGCAGATTAGTAGCAAAAGTAGAAGTTCTAACATTCACCAATACATGCCTCGGGAGCCGCCTTCGATACATGTGATTCACGACGATCAACCTATGACCATCATCACATTGATGCACCAATGACATACAGTGTATCAATACACTATGCCGTGAGATCAATTTCGGAACTTGATCCGACAAACATATCATATTGATATACAAAGACATAGGATCAAGGATCCCGATCCACCACCCGTGAAGGCCCGTCGTTCATTTTGGTGGTAGAATCAGGTATATTTACATATGTGATTACTTAATTCATTTGAATCTTAAAGTTGAAGTTGTATACAAAATAATATAACAATTCAAATAATTTTTCTATAGATAATTTAATATTAACGGAAGGATGATCCGCAATGAACTGAAATTGTAAACCTTGCACAAGGTTACTCCTCAAAGATCGAAAAAGATATGTGACATTATTCTTACCTAATTTACATTAGTTTTGCTAAAACTATACTAAATATATATTTATTTCTAATTTAAAACCCTATCCCAACTTTTTTTTTTCTATTTTTCAGGAATTTTTGAAGGGTTTTGTGCCTATTTTAGACGTATCGCTCGATATGACATATCGTACCATACCGAACAAAGTTCGGTACACCGGTATGGTACGGAATTTAGAACCTTGCTGAAAAGTATTATGACTCAAACTAATATGTACATCGGCTTACATCAAAAGGAAACGGAGCAATTTCACAAAGATTTCATCTATCATTATTATTATTATGACTAAATGCTAATAAGATTAAAAGTGAAAAGTTTCATGACTAAAACAATAATATACATCCTATCACAACTTAAACCATGTTCAGTTAAACTAAGTATGCCATAGTACCACTACACCAACAGTTTTCTTTGGTGAAGTTATAACCAAAGAAAGACATACTTAAGAGGCTTTTATGTAACAGCGTGATAGTGATACATAAATGCATAAAGCAACTTTCGAGTGACAAATATAAAAAAAGGTAAATGAGAGTATAAAATATGATTGTGTTATTTTCTTATGCCCTGTTTTGAATCAATACATCTACCGATAATGTTGAAGTTGAGCGCTGTCTAATGAAATCAGACGATCCAGATCAGTACCATTTCAGTAGTTCTGACATAGAAATCAACTTGGCCAATCATCTATTTGATACAAGCTGCCATTATCATGAATACATGCCATAGAGCTAACTCAAACTGGAACCTAATAGATAACTAATTGACAATAATGATAATAATGATATAAATATTTAGATAAGTGAGTTCCTATAGAGTTCCAGGGTATCAAACAACTTTAAAGGGCAGTTGAAATTTAAATCATCTCAAAACATTCCCCACTCCTTATTTGACGATGCCATATAGAATATATGGCCTCTATATTTTGTGGTAGCCATAAAAAATTTTAGTTCAAAGTCACCTAAATGTTGGTGCCATCCTGTAAGGCAAAGGTGAAGACAGGAACACGAACACTTTAAGACAATACAATAAAGGCATTTCCCGGTCAAATATTAATTACTGGTGCATCAGAACAGAAAATGAACTTTGAACTCTGAAACAAAATATAATTCTTTATTTTGCATTCCATACTTCCAAAAGGGATGACATCACTAACACCAATCAGCTACCTTTTCCAGATTGCATCCGATCATATATACAAATATTGAACAAAAAAAGCCCCAAGTAAATAGAAACACGGTTAAGAAAACATATCCGAGAGAATGAAACTTAGAACTTATTCAGCCATGTTGTCTCATGAATATGGTTGATCAAGATCAAGTTCAAAGACATCAACCTTGACTGCAAGGTGAAAAAACACTTGAGATTGAAACTTGAAAAAAATGTTCCCTTCTTCTAGTGGAATGATAATGTTTCAAATAGAAAACCTTTCAACTGAAGAATACAGAGTCAGAGACAAAAAAACATGAGACACAGTTTTGTTGCCATTTAACAATGACATATAACCTGGTCATATCAAAATGAATACCAGAAGAAAGGACATGCATGCTCTTGCTCTCAATCTTATGCAGAAGATGGTGGTGCAAATAGACCAGTCCAGGCTGATACAGGTACATTAACTGATTCTTAACAAATTCGTATTATACTATTTACTAAATTAAACTCAAGTTTGTCACTACTGCTCTAAAAACATTATAGTCTGCAGTTTTTTTAGCAGACTAGACCTAAAAGGAAAAAGGCATACCTGAAAACCTTCTTTCACCGTGTCTAGTTGCCTAATGGCATCTGAGTTTGGACGATGCCATCTCTTGTGGTCCCAAAGTATGGTGCTATTGAATGCAAATCCAGACATATCAACATGAAATCTCCTAAGTCTCTTGCTTTTCTCATTAGTGTGCCATCCAATTACTTGGCTTCCATTGCAAACTGGGCCTTCTAGTATCGCCTTATTTTTGCCTTGAGAAAGCATTGCAACAGGCCAAACACCAAATCTCCTAAAAATACAAAAACCTCAGTACTGTAACATTAAATTGATAACTTTGTCTGTTCAATGGAAAGAAAAATTTTGAGTTTATCATGTACCAGAAGTACCTATTCAGCATCATGAGACAAGATAGAAAATGTGTGATCAAACCCACAGAACCCCACAAGAACTGACCCTTCTGATACATGGGTCTTCCTGCTGAGAACTTGCACAAATGCAGGTTCAATTAGGTTTGACTCCATAAATCTCTAAATAATGAGGTTCAAGACCCAGAAACAACATGGTTTATCAAGGAAAACTTGAACGCTAGCAGGCTAGTTTAGATATGAATCAGGCTAATTTGCTGACATAGTGGATATGTGGAGAATATTCCAACTCCTGAGCTCTCTAGTGGTCACCATGAGTGAGAAATTACTAAAATTGACAATATATAATTACATGGAAAGAGGACTATAGGAGTAAACAAACCTTGTGAGTAAAAATGAGCTAGGGTCTCACATTAATATAAGTAGAGAGAACTGATAATTGCAATGAGTTCTATCCAAACTTGTAGAAGAATAAACAAGCAAATATTGAAATAAATAAAAATGGAAATGATTATTCTTTCATATATTTGATAATTTGTAAACTAGTTAAGATCAAAGAAGATAAAAACGGGAATGAAGAAAGACAATGATCCAGTCTGCTTTAGCATCCATTAAGGGTTATGGGAACCTCTTTCTACATATCATGATGCAGAATCATCTACAGGTAAAATAAATAAGACCAAGCAAATTGAACAATTTTAAAATACAAGTATACCTCAAACTTGGTATATGCTTCAATTTGAATATATATATCATTGTCTGGACAAACGATGCAGATATTTTGCTTGTGAATGAAATACTTGGGTAAATATAAAACGGTACTATGGTTTAAGGAAGGATTTAGGATGCAATGCATCTTGTTTCTATTAATTTCAAGTTTCAACATATTCCAAATGACAAATACATACTTTTGGTCAAACTTGAACATGAATTTATGCAAAATAAACAGGATTCTAGAGAACACAGAAAGGTAAAAAACTAAGCAACAAAAACTGCCAAAGATGTATACAAATATAACATAAACAAAGTTCAAATTGGGCCACATATTGGATCCTTCAATCTCACACATGAAGAGAACAAAGAGAAAAGAAAGTTGGGAAGATAAAACTTAATGGAAAAGACAGAAAAGAAGCCTTTGTTGTTGGTGTATAGCTGTAGCAGTTCTGCTGCACTGCTGCAACCAGAAAAAAGTAGGAAAAGAAAAAACAAAAAAATTAAAATATGCCAGCCATGGAGGAAAAAGTGTGAAAAAAAATTGAAAATGCATTGGCAATTCTAGATGAATTAATATAATAAGCCAATTAAAGACTAGAACTTCAAAAATAAAAATAACATAATCCATGTTATGCTATAAATATTTCGAATTACTCGTCATATCCATATGAAATGGATGGCACAAATGGTATGCTACAAAGCAATTGGATCCAGAACTACCCTGCTCTGAGGGTCCCACCTTGGACAAGTGCCTTTCAGTTGAATTTCATGATTTTTATGTTATTTTTGGATGTATTTTCATCCATGTACTTTGATGTTACTTACGGTCAACTTTAAAGTTATATTTTAATTTGTATGCTTATATACTAGTATTTCTGCTATTAATAAGGTTAGAAGACTCTTAAATCAATTAGGAGCCACATTTACAGACATAGATGTATCTTTAGGTATTATTTTGTAGGATTCTGATATTAAGAAAAAAAATTCTAATATAAGTTGTCTTAGAGGTCATGTTTTAGACTGTTCTACATTATTGCAATAAATTATATTAGCTTAATAGTAACTTCTCTCTTTTCACTTTCTTTCTTTCTTGGTAGGTCAATATTTTTTAAACTATAAAAAGCCTGATAAAAGTTATCAAAGTGAGATGATCTTCCATGACTATCATGTGTTTTCTACATTTCCATAATTGAGGCAACTATAATCTGTATCATTTTTGACAAGATGGAGCAACAAGTAGGAGATCTTAGTGGCAATTAGAGTGGATTATGCAGCTGTTACTTTGATTGCAGTTCACACAAAATAAACTTTGATGCCAATTTTAAAGAAACAAGTATGATTTTTGAAATTTCAAACATACAATGCTTCTTGGAAGTGAAAAACTTGTCTAAGGTAAAAGAACAAAGAGCAGTAGTCTACCTGGATTTTTTACTAAAAAGAATATTATTTGAAGGTTCATTAATTTGATTTAGACCCAAATTTTAATAATTATTAAAAATTAATTAAGAAGATAATTTTAGTTGATTAGGAATCAGTCTTAATGGAATTCTAATTTTGGGAGGTGTAGACATAGGTTGGGAGTTGGAGTCGGTCACATCTTTTATAAATTGCTCTAGGATCCTCCTATCAAACCATCAAGAGGAACAGGACGAGCAGCAAAGGAGTAGCAGCACTACTTGCTGAAAAGAAGATAGATAAGGATTCTATCAACTTGGAACTGTATTTTTATTCCATTGATTTTCTTTTATATTTAATATCTTTCGCTTTCCATATATATGTTACTTCAACTGATTTGTTCATATTGATCAAATAATTTTGAGGGATTGCTAGAGTGCCTTATTCCTTGACTTTATGTTTTTTTTTTTCTTGTGGGTCTTGATCTTCAAGGTATAAATGTAATTTTGTGATTTAATTGATCCAAGAGTCTCTTGCACTCTTATTTCTTTGTATCCTGTGAGATTGGATTATGGGAAACTTCAACCCTGTCTAGGTTGTTAGAAAGATGAAAAAACAAACAAACAGATTGTGGGCCAACCCACAAAGGGACCCAGCTTCCAGCAAGTTGTAGCCGTGCTGCAGTCATGAACCAGGCTTAAACCAGCCCAACCAATAGCTCAATCAGGCCTGGATTGGCCCAATTTGCTGCCTGAAACTGGACCAGCCTGCAGCAGTCTTGCAGCTCAGGTTGGAAGGCAGCTGGACGGCTAGCCCGCTGCCCAGCCTAAGGCCACAGGAACCTGCCACTGCAGGCATATCCCGTGCTCCAGCCTCACATGCTTGACAGACAGCAGCCAATATACAGGCTTCTGCTGCCCGTTTTGGATTTCACAAGCAGTAAGATATGGTGTGGAAGAAACATCTATTCCACAGACCATAAATCAGCTGTTGATAAAAAAATTTCTCCTCCGATGAGGAGTTGCAATCTGACTCCTCCTATCGAACATTATTATAGACATTAGACTAAACTATCTTTCGGCTACTGTTGCACTATGACTATATGGGTACTCCAGTTGTCAAATTCCAATGTTTTCATCCAGAATTCTAGCTGAGAAAAGGATTTTATTTTAGTGCCAAATTGGACAGAATTACCACACTGATGATGAGATGATGTGAAGGATAGATGGTAGTACTGGAGTTGCAGTTTAGGTTAGACCACAACTTGCACTGGTTACCATTAGCAATGGGAACAGAAAGGATTTCTGAATCATAGAATAAATCCTATGCTGCTTAACAAAGGAATGGTCTCAATGTTTAGTAAGTGATGATCAACCTATAAAAGCAACAATAACAACAAAATCAGAAAGTCATAACCATTTGATACATGAATCTTGTGCTGCTATTAAGATCTGTCAAATGCTATGTTTAGTTAATTTAAGAGTATTTAAATCTTTATTTAAAGTTTTGTTTAAGGGCTTTTTAGATCTTCCTCTACCTCTCGCCTCTTCTAACTATCATCGTCTGTAGATATCCTAAGCACATGTTCATATTATCTTAAACAATTCTTCCTCATTTTATCTTCTATCAAAATGATATCGAATCGTTCAAGAATGAGAACATTTCTTTTCATATATTTCTTAGCAACTCCATACATCCATCTCAACAAACACTACTAATCATGGCTTAGGAAAGCTAAGGCTTGCATTGACAATCTAGCAGATTAAAAGCCTCCAATAGAGACAAGCTTTGCACAATGTAGAATTCTTGTGTTAGCCTTAACTAGATATTCTCACAGGAAAATGCAGTACAAAATGTAGGCAGACTAAGCAGTTACTTAAACACCTTGTCACACAAGCAAAGAAGATATATCTGCTCTCATTCAGAACCAAGGATTAATCGTACATAGAACAAAATATACACAAACAAAGACAACAAAAAAGCAGCAACAGAGACATATTAAAGTTGCATATCAGTCACATTGGATGGAGGACAAGATTCCTAGACAACACTAGTTGCCCAATCAATAATCCCAGTTGGCCAAACATCTCCTTTAGTACATCAAAAAGCTCGGGTAAGTAGAATTTGTTATAAATCTTCTAGGTTCTGTTAATAATCAGCTAGGTTCTTCCATTAAACAAAATAAGTCAGCTAGTTATAAATCCAATCATTCAAACATCCTAAGCTGATAGACAAACAACATAGGTTGATGCGAGAAATAGAAGGTTTAACCAATTTCATTTTGGTTAGTTGATTATTGTAACTAAGTTCAGTCTGAAAACCTTATGGGTTTAGCCAAGATTCAATTAAATCCATTTCATGTTGATTTAAAATTCTTGAATCGGATTAGTCGAGATACAAGGATCAATTTGAAATTATGCTTTGAAGATTAGATTATATCATAGAATTACATTTTCAAATCATAACCAATTGGTATCCTGATCATATTTATTATATTAACTGATCATAAAACCTACAGTTGTTCTTAATTTTAGATGTGTTCGAGTACATGAGATCAAGACCTAGCGTTTGGATGTGTATCATGATTAAACCATTCCAATTAAATCAACTTAATCAAATCTTGGCAAGTAGAGCTGTTCCTATTCGCTAGAATTGAAACATTGATCATGAATCTTGTTTCTTCTAGACTCTTATTTTTAGCATGAATCTGATCTGAATTATCTCCATCTTTTTCAAACACATAATTTCTTATTATTGGATCTCAAATAGGTTCGCATTGATATGTTGGTATTGTGAGAGGTCTTAAATTGAAAAGAATACCACTGAATGAAACCTAAGCCACACCAAAATATGGAGCCACCAATAAATCGAGTTTCAGATGCCACCTACTAAGCACAATTTATTCAGATATCTTTTTAACATTTATTTGGTATGAAATGGTCAAATTATCCTGCATGATGAATGTATACCTTTTCTTTGTTATCTATAATTGTTTATTTGAATGTACACGTGAATGAATAAATCAAAGAATGATGACAAACAGAAGGTGTGATAGTGATGCATGAAGATATTTATTTACCCAAAAAGGGCAAGCAAGCTAGTATCGGTAGGATAATTACTTTCAGAAATTAGCATACCAACAAACTCGAGGGTAGATGATTCCTCATTAGCTGTTGGAAGGAAGATATATTCACTCCATCGGCTGCTAGAAATATGAGAGGATTTTCCACTATTAGCGATTAAGAGAATAAAGATTCCATCCCTAGGAGTATAGCCTCTCCATCCGCTGAGTATATCCATCAAGAATCTGACTTATACATTACTGTTGAATGCTGATGTTGTACATTGATGTTATAGTACGATGAGTGTGTGCATGTCCATAATTGTTGAATGTACTTACATCGCTATTGATCATGCATCATGTCATATTATTTCCTAATGCTTCTTAGTGATGCATAACATCTGATGACATATTTTGATCATATTGTTATATTGGGCTAGCGATTTTACTTATTTGCTATATATTGGGTTAGTAATTTTACTTGAATCACATTCATTCATTCAAACGTGTTCTTTCCACCTTCATTCTCAAAAAAAATTTTCCAAATCTTAATATTTCCACCAAACTAAAAACTTTAAAACTATGTTTCAAAACCATGTCTAACCTAGAGTTGACACACTTGTGCAACTACTTTAGTCATAAACAATAAATTGCTAAACTGGATATGCTTGTTTATTGTTCTTCAAGAACGTTAGCATCCTACTGTGGTTAGGTTCATAAATTACCTTTTAAAATATTATTTATCTCTATCTGCTTCTTTGCCTTGGAATTTTTTCAGCGCTGATTCCAACATTTTATGAAATCTAACAACTTACTGTGCTTAGGTTCATAAATTACCTTTTAAAATATTATTTATCTCTATCTGCTACTTTGCCTTGGAATTTTTTCAGCGCTGATTCCAACATTTTATGAAATCTAACAACTTTGACAACGATCATCACCGACAACAGGTGGCTAATAGTGTCCTGAATTATTTAGCAAACTTTTTTGGCTTTCCCTTGATTTTCCCTGGACTCTGTTGAACTATAGTCACAAGACAATGGGGTTGCAGTGACCTAAAATCCACGTACCGCAACCAAGAATCACCAACGTATCAAAGATAAAGCTCGATAGCCATCTATGGTATTGATATATCACCAGTTAACATCTTTGTTCACTTTAATGGCTGATCCTTGTTCGATGCCATTTGTTCAAAAACTACAGACAATGTTGCTTCCATTTATTGGGGAATTTGTTCTCGATTTCTACTCTTGAGCCTACACCAGTACCAATCAATCTAAAACGTACTGTCCCAACCTAATACTGACAAGGACATAAAAGTAAGGCATTCTTAAATCAAGAACCTGAACTGAAAAGAAAAGGCACTGACCTACAATGTAGAATCTTCACTGAATCGAAAAGCAGGACACTAAATACACTCCGTTTAGTACCTGATCTCTCTCAATCGCTCGAACAACTCGAGTGAGTAGATGTTGTCGTCGTCGGCAAAGTACACGATCCCATCCAGACGATGCCGCTCGATGTGCTCGAGCGCGGTGTTCCGCTGGAGGACGCCTCTGTCCTTGATGTTAGTCGAGTTCTTCTTGCAAACGAGATGCCTGTACATGGCGCCGGTGCCCATGAGAATCTCCGCCGTCTCCATAGAGGCAGAGTTCATCTCCACCACGATCCAGAGGAGGGGCGGCGGCACGAGCCGCAGCGTCTGGCCCAGCCGGGTCAAGTAGTAGCTCTGGAAGGCGCGGTTGTACGTGGGGGTCACGACGATCAGCAGCTTCCTCTTGGGCGTGGGCTCCGGGTGATCATTCGGCGGGGGCTCCGCTTCCGAGTGCCGGTTGCCGTCGTCGGATCGCACGAGCTCGATCTCGCTGGGTCCAGAGCGGACGACCGCGGCGAGATCACGGCGCGGAAGGTTGTTGCTACTGATAATGGAAGCGGAGGAGGAATCGAAGAAGTGGTGGGGCCGCAAGCCAAAGTCATCAAGCTCGACGAACGGGTAAAGTCCGAACAGGAAGCCGAGGAGGAAGAAGACGAACAAGCGAAAGAGGTTCCTCTTCCACGGATGGTGGCGCTGCGGCGGCGGCGCCGGCAGCTTGCCACGGGAGGACTTCCGGAGGAATCCGCCGGCGAAGATCCGGCGCACCGCGAGGAAAGAGTAGGAAGGAGAAGACGAAGAAGAGGAGGAGGAGGAAGAAGAAGCGAGGGGGTGATGGCGGCCGGTGTTACGATAAGGGAGGGCGTGAGTGTGTAAGGATCGATCGTCGTCGATGTTGTTGGCCGCCGTGAGAGTTCGACGGACGGACGCCATCTCTCAGAAGCATCAAGGAAGCAAAGACAGGCAATCGATCGATTGAATCAAGAAAGGAAAGAAAGGGTCAGAGTCAGGGGGGAAGTTTAGCTTCTCCTAATAAGGAAAGTAAAGGAGTAGGCGGGGAAGGATAATGGAGTTGGGAAGAAGGGGACGAGAAGTGGGTCGGCCATGATTCCGACGCGTCGGTTCTGCAGCTCCGTTGTGGCCGAAGTGAAATACCCGAAACACCCTCGAGCGCCATAATGTTGGGCGTAGACGAGGGAGAAATTAAGGGGCCAGACGAAGACCGAATCGGGCTTTCACGTTTCGTTTAATAAACTATACAAGAAGTCGACCATTCTCCGCCACACGCGGATCCCCACCGCTCCTCTTCCGACCACGTCGCCCGGAAGCTCAATCCGAACAGCGCCCAGGGGGGGAGCCGATGTTCCAACGCAGGAGAGCCGTCGATCGATCTCTTCGCACGAATCCTATAGCATTGCGCTTCGCCTTACCCAAAAATCTCCCTTCGCAGGAGGACCGTCGATGCAGATATTCGCACGCATATCGAAGCACGATGGAGATGGGCCCGACGCAAAGATCGCCTTCGTCTCACCGATCCGCATCGTAGTGTCGCGGCCCACGCGGGTCCCGTCGGCCACTTTCGCTGACAAGTCACGTGGGCGAGCGCGTGTGTCGTTGGCGGTGAGTGCAATATCCAAGAAAGAGGAAAGCTTTGCTTGCGCCGCCGCATGAACGCAGCCACCGCCGCGCCCGGACGAGAAGGTTGGTGGCGAAGTCGCCGGTCAGGTGGCCCAGCTTCCATGGATTGATTCGGAGGTTTTCCGAAGCGTCCGCTTCTTCTCTCTTCCCTGCCTTCCATTTCTTCTTCTGGCATTATGGCCGAGAAATCGTCGTTGTCATGAGACACACAAAACCAACCAACGTACGAAGACGTACTGAGCTCAAGAACGACGCTGTTGTATTTTTGTCGCCTTCTCTGAGACGTCGACGCCGAACCGAGCTGCACTCACAAACTGATACCAATTTTTGTGTAGGGGAGGAGGCCTCCACACCAAAATAACAATGCAGGGAATCAACAATAAAAATACAAATCTAAGAAATAACAAATACATAGTTACAGTGTTTTTTATAGGATTACAATATTTTTGATACATCCACAAACACACTATAAGTCTATAAAAAAGTCTACCATGGGCTCAGAATCTACTACCAATCTTGATTGAATTTTAAATATATATTATAAATTATTTATGAAAAATATAAACAAATTATCTTTCGTATCAGTTATAGTTCTTTTGAATAAAATATAGATACTAAAAATATTATAATTATATTCATAAATATTATAACTGATATGGTAATATATAGATTTGACCAATCCTTTGCTATGATAATAACATGCAAAAAAATAGATTTGACCTTTGCTATGATTTGACCTATCCTATTATGTTATTTTGGCTATGATAATAACATGCAAAAAATAAAAAGAGGGATTAATCCAACAATTCAGGCATCCAAAACTCTATAACCACAAGTAGAGGAGGCTTAGTGATCAACAAGGGAAGATAAGCTTGCTTTCACTTTCTCCTATCTAGTCTAACAAGGATAGAAATGCTTCAGTATAAAAATTCATAATATATTATTGTTACATAAAAAAAATTAATATCAGAATTAAAATCAAATAACAATACATCATATTTACAATATATGTCTTTTGATATCATCTAAAATAATTTTTGATTTACAAGAATATTATCATCGGATCCAAAAATTATAATGATGTCGATATATAATAAGAACTAAACTCACTTTCTCCTCTCTTCCTAAAGAACTATAAACTCAGTCTATTTATAGATAAGAACAGTAATAAGTAATTAGGAATGTCTCATTCATCAAAATCATCTCATAAGGATTTCTATCATAATTAAAAAAAATTATTAGATGATAAGCATCATCAAAGTTCAATCAGATTTATAATATATTATCTAATTAGATAGAACTATATAATATAATAATTTCATCCTTTGCTAATGTGAGGCTAAACCACGATATAACAATATGACCCTAAATTAATTATCTTGGTAATTAGAGCTGCAGTTGGAAGTATCTTCGTAATGGTTGTAGAGTTATTTGCTGGGACTCACGAAGCCCGAAGAGGCTTCATCATGCAATGTATACGCCTCGATATATGCATACAGAGAGATTGATGTCATTCGAGGGAGCTTTGTGACCTGTGATAAGGTTCCACATTTTCTTCTCTCTTATTCTCTCGCTAACTATGAGATGCGAAATACAATAACTCGGGAGGCTCTTAGGACGCTTCCAAAGCAATCACTGAATAGCAATCCTGTGATAGTTTCTTCACCCAATACTCTTATTGTCTGGAAGACTGACTCAAAGGTTTGGATGGACTATCAAAAAAAATTCTTTGACAAAAGAAAAGAAAAATACTAATTCTAACGTTATGCATTTGTTTAGTTGGGAAAGGTAGTGTTACAAAGTTAGTTATTCATGCACTACAAAATACTATAGAATATATCTAATAATAGAAAAAGGATATATGTTATTGTCACAATTGATCTATTAATTTTATCGAATCTAAATCATTGATCAAAAATACCTAAACTTGCGTTAATAATATTATATTTATCAAACCTAAACATAATCATTGTCCACTTTGAACACACAATAAAACCGGCATCCTACACAAGTAGAGGATCTGATCATGTCTATAAGAAATTACTGTTATATAAGAAACAAAAAAGAATATTTTCAAAATGACAATGGATGTTAATGTGTTATTTGTGGTTTAACGTTGGGTCAGTAAAACCCGAAACATTCACTTCCTCACAATTCTCTATCACCTCAAGATCTTTTCCTCTCTCAAAGATTTTCCTCACATTCCCTTTTTGTTCTCTTTCTCTATTCAAACTAAAATTTTGCATGCAAGAAGGGCTTTCCGATCATATCTCGAGGCATCTCTCGAAACCATCCCGCACGAGGATGAGATGTGCCTTAAAGATAATGTCACGATTCAGGATTCTTCATTTCTTTTAACTTTGTCTTATTTATTTTAAACATGTTCTAGCAATCCAAGCATACCCAATCACAACAATGCATAAAGATCTACATAAGAAACTAAAGCTACTGCTGTTAGCAAACTATTAGCAACGAACAGATAAATTATCTCGAATCATAATTCCTCAGAAAGTAATATCAAAAGTAATTACTGTCTTTGATTCGTAGCTTGTTTATAACCATGTTTCTTTTCCCTTAATATTTGGCAAGCTTGTTTATGCTGGTTTCATGGAGCAGCAGTAACTAAGGCCACCACTCTAAGATTTTGATGATTAGTTAGTGGCTGACCTTTGCATGAGCTCCTGTTAGATATATGTCGGCAAGAGAGAGAGAGAGAGAGAGAGAGAGAGGTCTTCTGTTAAGATGGCTTCCATCTCAATCTTAAGTTAAATCTTATTAAGATGTTATTGCTTGCAAGCTAAGAGAAGACAACTAGCATGTCGATGAAAGTGGACAAAGGTCAACTTGGGATCAGCTACTGATTATTTCCACTTGGATTGCATGTTTCGTGGATCTCAGTCTAAGTAATATCAAAAGATGGAGATGCACAACGAAGAACATTTTTTTGCCCCCCAAGAAATCTCCATCTCCTGATATCAATGGAGAAGGAACATGGCAAGATGGAGATCAACAGCTACATGCTCAGTTGTTCCTTCCTGTTCTGAGTGCAGCATTTTGCCCCAAAAATTTAGTTGGCAGTCAGTCCGGTCTTACTGAAACCTCTACAGCTTCCAATCGATTCCCATCCATATCTCCTTATTGATCATGTTGCTGCCCTTCTTGTCCTTGGTGTGCAATCATGGGTTGATCCATCTCTCTCTGGAGTTTATTTTTTTGCAATTGTGGTGATAAATACACTGACATCCTTTTCAATGTGACTGAAGAACAACTGAGATTTTGTCATTACGTGCATTAAGCCAAGAACAGTTTCTTTAATAATACAAGACTGTGGGGTTGGGCTATCACTAATTGCATTCCCTAATCATGTTGTTATCTGTTGAGTGAACAGATCAAACACTATTTCTTTTTTGTCAATTACCATTTATTTATTTTGTAGTAAAATACATTTAATTAATTTAAGGGTTATTTTGCTTATGTAATAATTTTAATTGAGTTTATTGGATTACTCAACAGAAAAAAGAAAAACAAAATAAATTATAATTTCGATTGAAGATTACACAGCAAATAGTACAGATATTTTCTATGGCAAGTTCGATCGAAAGATGACCACAGAGAAGCATGATTGATGGCAACTTAGCGGTCTATCACAAGCGCATTTGTCAGTGTGTACCCAACGATACTTGAATAGTAATCAACTATCCACGCATCAATGATGGGTTTAGGTGACACAGTAATGCACAACAATGATATATGATTGTGGTCTGACGTGGACGAGCATCACGTGTGATTGGGTTAGGCACAGCCCCATTACGTGTTCGCCACGTAGCTTTTCTCCCGCGTGCTACGGAGAAGGCGTATTTATGCGCGGGGGGTGGGGCCCGGTTGTCTTCACGAACGTGGCCCGTTAGAGGAGGCCATTGGGCGGCGGGGCCCGGGCGACATGGCGGTCAGCTCGGTTAATGGCGACGAGACGGGATGTGGGCCCGCCACCTTTTCCCGCGTTCCTCACCGGTCGCCATTGATCACCGTTGTTGCATTCCCCACTAGACATCGTACTATTATAGACATAATAGCACACCGTCGAATGACTTGCTTTGTAATGTAATGATAGCATGATTGTTAAAATTCTCTATTTTAATACGGATTATATCATAGTGATATAATGGATTTGGAGCTTAAAGATCCCGTTGAACCTCTCTTTATGTCATTTTTTAGATTAATTAGATTAGACCATAATAGCAGCAGCATACGATGGTGATGTGAACAAAGAGACTTATAATAAATTATTATAAAATTTTACTAGTTAATTTAATTGATGTAAGACAATATAATTATCTTTACAATTATCAGATAAAAACATATATGTTTTATATTTTGAATTTTAAAATTTAAGTTAATTATTTACAGTCATGATTATTATTATTTGTTTATATTTAACATTAATATACACACTAAAGGTTGATAAATCTGGAGGATATTTATCATTTTTCGGATGTCAATAAAATTATCTGAACTTCTGGCTTTTGATTATATTCTACAAGTATTCGGGGTATACTAATCTCCGAATTTTCAAAAAATAATAGTTGATATTAATTTATTTTTCAATGATATTCTAGAGGAATTTTCTTGACTATGTAATTTATTTATGGTAGCGGAAGGTACAAATATAATTGGCTCCAGATGACGTAAGATATGTATCCTAGGTGGAATTTAATTTATAAATTAAATTTATTTCCTATTTCTAATCCTTTGTGTTTTCTACCTCAAATTTCTTATTACCCACTTTGATTTATACAAAAAAAAAATTATGAGAAGATGAATTTGAGCAATGATTGGACTTACTGTCCCGCGTTGTCTTCTACTGGGGCCCAACCTGTTTCCAATCATTTACCTTGGCCACAGGTCCAACGTCCAAGTCAAGAATGAAAGGAATTCCAATGCCATTATATTGCCTATTATTTCGGATCGCTGGTAACCGAACCCGACCCGATCCGACCCATTGCCATCACCAACCACGGCAGTGGCGAGTACGGATAAGGTCCGTCGACGGTTGACCGCCTACTGGTTGTTTGACCGTCACAGGTCACAGTAACATCATGACCCTGCGATCGCTCTTCCTCCGTGTCTCAGTAGTGGTAATTAAATGCTGCTCGATCCTCGAGGTGTTGTATACGAGCAGGCCTGCGCCAGTAATGAGTTTGAAGGCAGTAGGTCTGAAAGCACATCTCCGTTCAACGATTGCGGACATAGTTATTGTTTGTGCGTTGCACAAGTGCTATCCACGGGACTTGTGGCACGGTAAGGACGAAACCAGCATTAAAGTAGCAGAGCATGAAGAAGAATGGAGTCGTTGGAGGTGATAATGATCGAGAGAGGTCGCGTCCAGACAGATGGAAACAGTAAGAGAAGAATAATGGCCTCTTTGGGGTGCCAAGAGAATAATAGCAGTAGTAATTAAATGAGGAGGGGAGGTGGAGTACGATCAAGTTTTGACTTTGAGATCCATGCCGAATGCCAAGGAGAGCGAGACGGTAATGCCTGAGATCCCTCGGGAAGATAACTCATTTCGATGCAGTGGCACTTATTATTGATGCAGTGACAGTAACCCCTTCTTTAATCTTCTCTTTTTCTCCTTTTGGGGAGGAGTGTTTTGCCTACCCGGATCCAGAAAAGCCAAGTTGAGCACGTCACATCAACGAGTTCTTACTCTCGGGGGTTGCTGTTTCTCCAGGTCTTGTTGTGGAAGAAATCAATGGTGTGGAGTCTTTTGCCCCGCAGGGTGGAACGGGAAACAAGGTGATCCACGTTGATCTTCTGCGGGAGACTTATCGTACGTGGTAAATGGTGGGCTCCGACTTCTTTCAGTGGAAAGAAATGGTGATGCTTTTAAGGTGATTCTATTTATACAGAGGAGGCTTGAGAGAAGGAAGGAAGGAAGGAAACAAGATCGACAAGTAGCCAAAGTGAAGGAGAACGTAAGCGATGGGAACGGGAGGGTGGCGAAGAGCCTTCTGCACGTCGGTGGGTGTAGATCCGGATACGACTGTAGCGACGCGGAGGGAAGCAGGAGAGAGGCAGCAGCTTAGCCCCAGCACCAGGAGCTGCGCGAAGCTTATCTTCTTCTCCGGTGGCGGACGAGGGGGGAGCAACCCTTCGACGCCGAGGCTGGACGAGGGCCTCCGGTGCCGGACCAGGGCCATGTCCCCGGACAGGCCGAAGCTGCAATGCGAGACGCCCGTGGGCGTCACGCCCACGTTATCCATCGGCACCCCCAACCCCAGAAGCCGGACCCCTGCTCTGTTTCGGCGGAAGGCTTTCTCTGCCCCTTCTTCTCCGAGATCCCCCTCCAGATTCGGCCTCTTCAAGCATCGATCCAGCGTATGCAAGCTTTTCTATTCCTGCTGCTTAGTTTTCTCTCCGTCTTCGTTGGTACTCTCCGTCTTCGTTGATTTATTCAAAAGATTTGGTCTCTCTCTCTCTCTCGGTGGCTGGTTGCCATGAGGGAGAGCGCTGTGGTGCGCTCTCTCATTGTAGAATGATGAAGGCACGGAATGAGTTCCCTCCCGATCGTTTGCAGTCACTTTGAGTTGCTTTTTGGGCTTTTCAGCCTTCCTGGTTGCTGCGGGCAAAGCAATCATCGTTTCTTTGACTCATGTTATTGTCATCGGAGATTACCGCTTTCTGTTGTCGTCTTCCTTTTTGGTTTTTGACATTTTTTTGTTGTGGTGGTGGTGACTGCAGGGCAGGTGTCAGTTATGTTGGCAGAGGCTGAAGAGGAGCCAGGAGACGCCGGTCTTCACAGCAGAGTGCTCCCACGCCTTCCACTTCCCTTGTATCGCCGCCCACGTCAGGAACCATAGCAGCCTTGCATGCCCGGTCTGCTCCGCCACCTGGCGCCAAGCGCAATTGTTCTCCGCTCTCCACTCCCGCGAAAAGGATGCAGTCCTCGAACATGGGCCGGCCGGAGAGTCGGAGAACCGGAACCCCAACGGAAGAACCTTCGGTGGCAGTGACAAATATACCAGCAAAGGCCGCGAACGGCAGCTGGGACAGCACAGATTGGCTGCTGCTGCTGCTGCTGTTAAGGTTTACGACGACGACGAACCGCTTCTGGCTGCGTACAAGACCAACCAGGGCGGCGGTGTGCGGTTCAATCCTATTCCGGAAGCAGCAAACGAGGATGAGGATGAGTATGGCGACAGCGAGGGCAACAACTTGGAACAGGAGGACGAGTTTAATGGGCTCCTCGCGACCCCGCTCTCCCATTCTCCGAGCAGCGATGACCAAGGAGTTCCTCGTCGGCTAACACCGAAGTTGAAGGCGGTTGCGCTCCAGGTTAGCGTGATTCCGCAGGCGGCCCTTCTCTCCGAAGGCAGAAAGCACCGGAACTACGTGGTGGCGGTCAAGGTGAAAGCGCCATCGATAGCGTCGGCTCGTCTCCTCGACACTGCGAGCGGGCGCGCCCCGATCGATCTGGTGATGGTGCTGGACGTGGGCCAAGGCATGATGGCGGAGAAACTCCAGATGCTGAAGCGTTCAATACGGCTGGTGGTCTCGTCCTTGGGCCCAGTGGACAGGCTCTCAGTGGTGGCCTTCTCGGCGGCCGCGGGTGCTAAGAGGCTCATCCCCTTGCGGCGGATGTCGAGGCAGGGCCAACGCGCTGCCCGCCAGATCGTGGACAGGCTCGCGGTGGTTGGCCGTGACGCCCCGGGGAGGGGAGCGAACGTGGGCGATGCGCTCAGGAAGGCCGCCAAGGTCCTGGAAGACCGCAGGGAACGCAATCCGGTGGCCACCGTGATGCTCCTATCCGACTCCGGCCAGCAGCAGTTGCTGCTGCGCGACCACGGGAAGAAGGATGACAACCATCACAAGCCTCTCTACGCACCACGGGACTCCGGTGGCGATATTCACCCTCATCCGCCATCGACGGTGACATCCGACGCCTCCACTTGCTTCGCTCATCTGGAGATACCCCTCGTCGCTTCTGGATGTGGAGATGAATCAGCGGGGGAGCCGTCGCTGCAGAAACGTAGGCAGGTGCCAAACGAAGACGCCTTCATCAAGTGCGTGGGCGGCCTCCTGTCAGTGGTCATGCGGGACGTCCGTCTCCAACTCATTTTCCCCACCGGCGATATCTCTGCTGTTTACCCATGCAGCGGCCGCAGCTGCGGAGAGGTGGCTCTCCGGGGAGGGAGCTCCGTTCTTCGGCTAGGGGACCTCTACGCGGAGGAGGAGAGGGAACTGTTGGTGGAGCTGAGGGTGCCGGTGTCGTCTTCGGCGGCCGCGGGACCGCAGAATGGCCACCACCAGTTGGTGGTGAAGTGTAACTACAGGGATCCAGCCACCCAAGAGCTGACATTAGACGCAGAGCAGATCCTTCTCTTGCCGCCCGAGCTCAGCCGCGCTGCCTCGTCCTCCGCCTGCTCCGCCACCCCTATGCGGCTGCGGAATCTCTTCGTCTCGACCCGGGCGGTGGCCGAGTCACGCCGCCTGGCCGACCTCTCGGACTCCGCCACGGCCCACCACCTTTTCTCCTCCGCCCGCTCGCTGCTTCTGCAGTCCGCTTCCGACGCCCAGGACCACCGTCTCATCCAAAACCCGGACGAGGAGCTCGCCGACCTCCAGCGGCGGCGGCGGCGGCTGTCCCGGGCGCATCACCAACCTCATCATCTTCATCGTCGTCATCATCAGCAGCAGGAAGAGTGCCTCTCGCCGTCCGGGAGGAGGAGGAGGCGGCGGCAGCGAGAAGTCGCGGCTGGTGCGGAGGTGCGAGGGGAGTCGATCACGCCCACATCGGCTTGGCGCGCCGCCGAGCAGCTGGCGAAGGTGGCCATCATTCGGAAATCTCTGAACCGGGTCAGCGATCTTCATGGGTTCGAGAACGCCCGGTTCTGAGAAAACCCGAGCCGAATCCTACAAACAGACCGGGCGCCTCTCTCTCTCTCTCCCTTTCTGCCACCGGAAACATTTTTCCTCGAGAAAAAAAAAAAGAGAATCCCCAAAAGTTACATAACCCCCATAAATAAAATTTAATGAAAATTTATGGCACTTCATATGATGAATGTTGCGAATACAAATACGAGTAAGAGTGAAGGAATCATAATGTATGAATGATTCAACCATTTCTTTGCATGTAGAGTAAGATGGCACTCAATTAAATAATGTGTTTATCTAAAATAAATTCTACAAGATGGAATTTATGCATTATTGGGTTTCTACTACGACTTGAGAGAGGAGACGGTATCCCTCGAATTCATCGACCAAAGGTGTGTTATTCACCCACTTGAATTCATAACCTATTATTCATTTTAAAATTTGAAGTTGTTAGAAGAGATCCCAATATACATTAAATTCTAAAATCTTAAATCTTCTCTCACATGCAAGTAATTAAATTCAAATGCATAACGTAAATCAAACTGAGAGAAGACCATTACACAGATGCTATTTATGTTTCTACGAGAGACTTACACGGGACTGGAAATTACAACATATCCTGGTAGCATGATAAAGTGATCACACATCACCTTTGTACGTCTCTTCCGTGGCAGATAACGATTTCATGTCGGAAACAGAGCATAGTCCATAACATATACTCCACTGTCATGTCTACTACCGATCATAAATAATACAACGAAGAAACATGACAATCCACAAACACATTTTTGACTGTGTAATCTGGATAGGTTTCTCTCAGCTTCTTCACCATCACCACACATGTTTCTCAAAACTTTCTTTGATTCTTTCATATAAATTGTCGAAATCTCCGTAGAAATTTCATATAATCTGGATTCATTTGATCATGACGCATCAAACTTCAACATGGGGCTTGAATCCTCAGTAAACAGATCCACATGACTATAGCATTCACGCGAGTTCATCATGCTTAAACAGGTCGCATGACCGAGACCTACATTTCTATTATCAGATCGTAAAACATTATATACAAAAACCATCGGAACGGGACATAAAGATTTGATTTTGCTAAACTACAAACTAAGGTGAGCACACACACACACACACGTTGCGAATCAATCAATTTTCTCCATGTTTGTGTCATCTGATGGCCAAATGACGGTCTCCATTAGCCTCTCACGCATCAGCTGTAAGTTCTCGTCCGAAATTTTCTCATACATTTTTGCATGGTCGCATTTCTGACAATCAAAACGCAAAATCTCAGCTTGCTATTATTAACAGAGAAAAAAATCCTTCTTCTCCATCCTAGTGTTGCATTAACACGCATCATTACCTTTATCCATTTGCCGTATAGATGGAGGCGCGTTATCATCACTCTTTCTGCAAGGTCTTGCTTCTCCTGAAAATTTTTCAAGATTAAAAGGGTGGTTGAAATTTTACTGTCCGGGAGGAAAGAAGCTAACAAGTAAATTACCTTTGCCAGGCTACGAAGAAAACGTTTACCATCAGTCGGTTTATTATTTGCGATAAAACTGCAAGGCATTTTACGATCATGTTAATTCAGTGAATGACATTTACAAAACTTGCAGTTGTAATTTATCATGTTAATTCAGTGAATGAAATTTACATGATCCAGTTGTTCACGGAGCATCAGCTGTAAATTACAGCGTAAAAGAAATGTCCAAGTTAGAATGACTCACTTGTAGAACCACCTATAACTGGGTGGGTTCATTTCATAAAGCTGGTGGAGAACTGTCCTCGATGCTTTGTAGGTGAAGTAATTAATAAGTTGCTGAAATCAACCAAAAAATCATCCTAGTCAATAGAGCTGTCATAAACATCTATACGGAGAGAAGATGTTCAGGTAACATAACAAAATCCAGGCTCCCAAAAGAAAGAGTATGAAATTGCTGATTGCAGCAGCGATTTGAGAATAAAATCGATTGGCAAAAGGATCAAATGATCTATTATATCGTCATCAGAAACATTATATTTGCTTGATTTAGATCGGTCACTAGTTTATCCGACCAGTCCGGTGCAGAATTTGAGATGGAAATGATGAATATTTCCACCGGACTTAGGTTTCGGTTACTTGAGCAGGTTAAAACATTTCTTCTTGTCATCGGTGAATTCATCGGTACCATTTCTACCCGACTTCTTGCGGACCGAGTGCGTGCATAACCTAACCGTATTAACAGAGCACATGACAAAGGAATAGGGAGATGAGTAAAGCTGATCATTACCACATGGACGTCATCGAATCCCTCCTCGTATTGCCCGCCCAGCTCGTCCACGACCACGACCAATCCGCCCCGTCGCCTGCTCCGCTGCTGCCTCTTCGCGAGCACAAACGCGATGCGGCCACGCCGCGCGCGCCGGGCGTCGAGGAAGGAGCTGCTAAGCTCGAGCGAGGAGGCGGACGGCCGGGACGGCAGCGGCGGCCTTCGGCACGCGGTCCCGCGGCCGTAGTTGAGGGCGTCGACGCAGAGGCAGGGGGAAGGGAGGGGGTCGACGGCGACGGCCCCGAAGGCCATCGGAACTGCCATCCACGATTCAAAATACCGTATTGTTGGAGATGGAAGGTGGAATAGTTGGAGGGAAATCTTCCGGTAATTTATGAGGGAGCGGAAGAGAGGAGTTTGGTGGGAAGAGGAGAGGAGAGAGATATATCTGGCGGAGAGGGAATGCACCTGCCCACATGGGGAGGAAGAGGAGGAGGAGGAGGAGGTTTCGTTTCAACCTCTGCCAAACAAATTTGTGAGGTGGAGATCGGCCTTCGGCGAAGAGCCATTTCTCATCGCATTCCTTCGGGGATTCCTCCCGACCAAAATAAATCTAAAAAAAGAAAAATAATCGTTTTCTCTACACGTATGCTATCTACTTTCCTCTGCGACACGTTTACATCCGCCTGCCTCGTGATTGGCACCGACCGTCATGGGAGAGGGTATACCATTCGAAAGCTCGGTTCATCTTTGACGCGTGTGCCGGTCCGGACGGAATCTCCACCACGTTGCGGTGTGAACGGAATCAAGAGAAAGAAACGGCGGTTTCCAACCTGCTTCCCCGTGACGTGGGACCCGCGGGTGCCTCGTACTTCCGGACGTGTGGGCGAGGCCGTTGAGCCGTGAACGGGTGGAAAAGGTGGTGTCGGTATGAGACCGGCAATCACAATCCTGACCGTCCGAAGCATACAATTTTGATTCGGGCGACCCAAGCGACAGTTTTCGTCGGTCCACCAAACACTGATTAGGTTTGAATCAAACTCAAATAGCCAAATGGATTCGAAGAGGTTAACGTGGGTACCTTCCCCGATGGTTGACTGAGTCATCTCCGTCAATGCACGGTGGTAGGACCAGCATCTGTGGGCCCCATGTGGGTCATCCCGTCAACGTAACTAGTGGAGTGGTCCCGAAAGAAAACCAATCACACAAAAAAAAACATGTATACCGGGCATTAATAGCTTACGTGCTTTGAATGATCAGATGAACAACGTGCGATAGATTGATTATACATGGTACAACGTTCGATAGGATATTAGTCCAAAAAAAGTATTTTTAAAATTTATAAAATTTTAAATCATTTACTTATTTCTTTGAAGAAATATTTCTTCGAAAAAATAAAATTTTATCATATTATCTACAACTAAAGCTGAATATATTATGATAAGTATATGTTTTGTAAAAGTAATTTGGATGAAGAATACTTTAGAATATTATAAACTTTATCTAAAATCACCTATATAGAACAAGATAATACTAGTACAATTTGTTTGACAAAGAATCATATTTAATATTTTAGGACTAAGCATACTGATATTAGATATCATTTTATTATGGATCTTATTAGTAATTATGATATATCCCATATGGGTCATCCCGTCAACATATGGGTGGTCACAAAAGAAAACCAATCACACAAAAAACATGCGACGGATTATAAGAGAGGAGATGTTTACCGAGCATCAACAGCTTATGTTTTTTGAATGATCAGATGAACATGTTGCGATAGATTACCAGTGATACGATGGTACAAGTGCGATACGATATTAGTTGAGAATAAATTATAAAAGTATTTCTAAAATTTATAAATTCTTAATTCATTCACTTGTTTCTTCATCATGGAAGAAGTAAAACTATGTCGCACTATCTATAACTGAAGCTGAATATGCCGTGATAAGTGTATACTATGCACAAGTAATTTGGATGAAAAATATTTTAGAATATTATAAACTTTGCCTAAAATCATCTCTATAGAACGCGACAATACTAGTATAATTTGTTTGATAAATAATTATATTCAACACTTTAGGACTAAACATATTAACATTAGACATCATTTTATTATGGATCTTATTATCAATTATGATATATCTTTCGATTTCATTGATATAAAATATTAATTAACAGATTTTTTTACTAAATCACTTAGTGAGAAACAATTCAATTTTATTAGAAAAGAATTAAGTATATTGAATCTTTCAAATTCATAATTAAAGATCTTTTATTATTTTTTTACTAGTTATACTTTCTCCTTTACTAATGACTAAGGGAGAGATTTATCCAAACGAATTATGATCATTCACTTGACTTCTCGATGTTTACGACATGAGTTTTATTTTGTGACTCTTTTGTACTCATAACTTATATACTTCATTCCTTTGGTTGATAACAAGGGGGGAATAGAAGTAACTCTTTTTTTTTTTGATAAGTAAGGAGAGAGAAGTATTGATTCATGCCTAGCTTATGTGTTGAACAAGAAGACTTATAATGCTTTTATAACTTTATATTAGTAGTTACTCATGTCTAATATTTTTTAATTATTTTTTATAATTTGAAACTTGATTGAATATTTAGGTTTGCAATGATAATGTTTACAAGATCAAATTTATCTCAACTTGAATTCAAGACTATCATTATAAAAGTAATATTTTGAATTCAAATTCACATATTTTAAAGATGACTTATAGATGGGTGAGTCTTGTTAAGATCCCGCCATCAAATGATCTTTCGGTATTCATAACTTGAACTTATCTTTGATGACACAAGATTCTTCATGTACCATGATAGCAAAATAATTTTTATTTTTACATAATTTGAACATTGATATAAATTCGGAGAAGTATCATTATATCATAATATCACTTTCTTATTTTTGTTAATGA